GGGATTCAAACTGTCAGTAGCTAAGACGCAGGTCATTTGTAAAATGGTATGAGCAACCTCTTGAACAGGTTAATACAATAAGATTTATTGGTGTTTGGTTTGACGGAAAGCTAACATGGAGCAATCATATAGGAAAAGTTCAAAATAAATGTAAAAAGGTCAACAATGTACTTCGGTGTTTGGCGGGACAGGAGTGGGGAGCGAGTAGATCATCACTTCTGAATATATATTGGGCACTCATGAGACCTGTAGTAGATTATGGGTGTATAGCGTTCATGGCAGCAGCAGAATCAAACCTTAAAAAACTGGATGTCCTACAAGCTCAGGCCCTGAGAATTTGTAGTGGAGCTTTTAAAACATCTCCAGTATCAGCAATACAGGTGGAAATGGGAGAAATGCCTTTAAGGATAAGAAGAGTTAAGTTAATGTTGGCATACTGGGTAAACCTTCAGGGGCATTGTGATAGTCATCCTGCGAAAAGTATTTTGAAAGACTGCTGGGATCACAATGAGTCACATTTAACAAGTTTTGGATGGATTGGCGATGTTAAAGCAGCAAGTATAGGTTTGAATAAAATACAGTATTACCCCACAGTTCCAATCTCGTCCATTCCACCCTGGTTATTCCCATTGCCAAAGGTAGACCTCAATATACAAAAAGAGTTGAAGGAAAAGAAAGAAATACTACCAGTATGGCGCATAGTCCAGAATTATTTTGCAAGATATCACTCAGACTCAACAATCATATTTACAGATGGCTCCAAAGATCCAGAGACAGGGCGTGCAGGGGCAGCAGTTTATATCCCAGTGAGTAATACACATATAAAGAAAAGGGTAACAGACCATGTGTCAGTATACACCACAGAGTTGTTGGCATTGGTGTTGTCAATGAAATGGATAGAGGAGAAAGAAATACATAATAGTGTAATTCTGACATCTGACAGCTTTTCAGCATTATCGAGTATACGATCAGGCAGATCTTCATTTAGAATGGACATAATAAATGAAATATTTCTAATTTTATATAAAATGCAAATCAAAGGCATAGCAACTCGTTTCATCTGGGTTCCTGCTCATGTTGGTGTGGAGCAGGGGTGGGCAATTATTTTTTCCATGGGGCCACATGAGAAACTGAAAATATTGTGGAGGGCCGGGCCAAAAGGCTGAACTCAATTCTGCATAATATTAATTGTATTTCTTTATAAAAAGCAGTAAATAGCATTGTTTTGACAAGCTGGTAAGAGTATATGTTATAGTTAAGCAATGAAAAAGTGAGGTTGCCTTACAAAAAAATGTCATTTATTAAATCAAATTTCCCAAAACAATGGTAAACAAAATGAACGTTTTTCACCATTTGTGACTCATATTAGTGAACATTTTCAGTCACATTCACTCAAACACATTTTGAGTTTCATTTACTGTTGGAAAGAGGTTCTTAGCATTCTAAAGACATCACAATATTGTCTTTGTACTCCAAATATTAAGCAAGATACATCATATTGAACTGTCACTAAACATCACTGAACTGTGATTTTGAGAAAAAGGCTTCCAAAGAAAGTGTCCCAGTTCACTGCTAGTTGGTGCCTTTACATGACAACATTTGTAGTCTAACCACCTCATTTGGTGTTTTTAAGTTCTCTTTTCTTGTTCAGTGAGAGAAATCTAGTCTCTGCTGGGCTTTAACGAGTGCATCAAAGTCAGGTTGAATGTCTGAGGTGGAGATGCGAAGCACAGCTGACAGATGATCATCAGTGAGAGAGGATCTATACCTGGATTTCGTAAACTTCATAATTGAAAATGTTTGTTCACATATGTATGCGTGTCCATGCACTCGTTTACCTCCGTGAACAGATCGCTCCCTGTCGTCGTCCCTTTCATCGACCGCATTGCTGCCAGCTCCTCCGTAATCTTGAAGTCCGGTGTTATCCCGCGGACGAATACGAGTAACTGGGCTGTGTCGCGGACATCACAGCTCTCGTCCAAAGCCAAGGAGAAAAAGTCGTAACTTGCCACTTCACGTTGCAGCTGAAGCTCCAGATTCCCCGCAATGTCCTCGATCCTTCTAGTCACGGTTCGCCTGGACAGCGGGACTTGCTCAAATGCGGCTTTTTTTTTCAGGGCATATTAGTGCTGCAGAGTCCACCAAGCACTCTTTGACAAACTCCCCCTCCGAGAACGGCTTACTGTTTTTAGCAATTTTGTGGGATATCACAAAGCTGGTCATGGTTGCTGCATCACTGGATGTGTGAAGCTTGGTAAAAAAGCCTTGCTGCTTTTGCAGCTTAGCTAGCAAAGCTTCCGATGTCCGCGCCCTTTCAGCGTCAGTCAAGTTTTTATATTTCTCCGCGTGTTTCGTCTCGTAATGTCGACTCACATTGTACTCCTTAAACACGGCGATCTGCTCCCCGCAAACTAAACACAACGGTTTTACCTCCGACTTCAGTAAATAAATACTTAGCAGTCCAATTTTTGTTGAAAACCCTGCATTCAGCATCTACCTTTCTTTTTTTAGCGGACATTTTTTTGAGGGCTAAAGTCGTCTTGTGACAAGGATCCAATAATGTGCACGTCTTGATATACGTATTGCGTCATTATGCACGTGAATAAAAAACAACTTCAAAATAAAAGCAATGCAGCTTTAGTCCATGCATGAGGTAAAGTTAGAAAATATGTTTATTTTGTAATTTCCAATTAGCCTTACACGGGCCGGTTAGAGTCAACCAAAGGGCCGTATGTGGCCCGGGGGCCGTACGATGCCCAGGTCTGGTGTGGAGGGTAATGAACAGGTGGATATTCTGGCCAAACAAACACTCAGAATTATGAACATAGACATAGAAGTTCCACTTAGCAAAGCGGAGGTTAAAACATTCATACATAAATATGCACAAACAACATGGCAAGACCATTGGGACCTTAGTGATACAGGAAGACATCTTTATAAAATTCAAAGGTATGCGGGGGATGGAAGGAAGGTGGGGTTTAAAAGAAGGGAGGAAAATGTCATTTCTCGGATGAGAATAGGTCATACAGGGCTCAATCATACATTAAGTAGCCTATAATAGGAACGCATCCAACCGGAAAGTGTATACACTGTAGCCAGCCAGAAACTGTTGAGCATGTTTTACTGCTTTGCAGGAAATATAGTAGGCCTAGAGAAATGTGCTTTTCCAGACACTGAAGAAAGCAAAATTCCATGACTTGTCGCTATCAGGGCTGTTAGGGAAAACATCAGGCAATATGTATTGTGAGATTATTACGTTTCTAAGAGAAATTGATCAATTTAAAAATAATCTAGAGTTTTGGTTCTTTATTTTATTTTATTTATTTTGTTTATTGTTTTCTGCATAGTCTCTTGTTCACACTCCAGTCCAGTTGTGTGGTATGCACCTACAAGTTGTTTGCCAACCACCAATAAACACCGAAGAAGAAGAAAAAGAAGAGAAGAAGAAAAGAAAGAAGAAGAAGAAGAAGAAAAGAAGAAGAAGAAGATAGAAGAAGAAGAAGAAGAAGAAAAAAAAAAAGAAGAAGAAGAAGAAGAAGAAGAAGAAGAAAAAGAAGAAGAAGAAGAAGAAGAAGAAGAAGAAGAAGAAGAAGAAGAAGAAGAAGAAGAAGAAGAAGAAGAAGAAGAAGAAGAAGAAGAAGAAGAAGAAGAAGAAGAAGAAGAAGAAGAAGAAGACACAAATTCAAAGTTTCAGGGGCGTGGGTTTGGATGGACAAGTAAAAGGAAAAATAAGGACATACGGCATGCATGAGTTAGAGTTTTCACCATCAAATCCATTCAGTAGTGTACCCCCATGGCTTTTTCCAATAGTAAATATAGATGTGAGTATTGTAGAAAAGAAAAGAGAGTGGCAAATAAATGAAGTAGGATTCAAAACAAGTTTGTACCTCAGGAGTAATTATCACAATTACCTCAAAATATACACAGATGGTTCTAAGAACAAGGAAGAGTGTGTCGGAATTGGTATATCCCAGAATTTAAAATATCGATATCAAAAAGAGCGTCAGACCAACTTTCAGTGTACACAGCAGAAATGCTGGCAGTAGTAATAGTATTACAGTGGGTGGAAGAGGTCAGACCAGATAGGGTGGTGATATGCACAGATTCATTATCCAGTTTACAAAGCATACAGTCAACAACAACTGCCAGAGAAGACATACTCATAGAAATCAATCACAGCCTGTTACGACTTCACAGAAGCGGCATAGATCTGCAGTTCTGCTGGGTGCCTGCTCATGAGGGGGTGAAAGGGAACGAGTGTGCTGATAGATTAGCAAAAAGTGCACTACAAAAGGAAATCACATTACCAGTTAAACTTGGAAAAGGAGAAGGAAAAGCAGTAATTAAGAAGAAAGGGATGGAGATCTGGCAGAAAAGGTGGGAGAAAGACCAGAAAGGCAAAGAGTATCATCAAGTGCAAAAGACAATTACAATTAATATTTATAAAGAAAGAAATAGAAGGGAGGAAATAATGATAGCTAGGCTCAGACTAAATCACACTGCATTGAATGGTACGCTGTATATCATGGGGAAAAGTGACAGTGACAAATGTGGGAACTGTGGAGTTAGGGAAAATGTGGAACATATTTTATTACATTGTGTCACCTATAGAGTAGAAAGAGGAAAATTAAGGGATAAAGTTTTAGAGGCAGAGAGGGAGTGGAATGTAGCTGGTATTCTGGGAACAGAAGGAGAAGGAGTAAGAGCTACCAGAAAGGCACTGTTCACCTTTTTGAGGGAAACTGGGATAGGGAAAATAATCTAACAGTAGGTTAGAATAGATCATGGATGATTTGTTTTTTGTTTTTGTTTTGTTTTATTTATTTTATGGTTTCTTAGTTTTATGTTTTCGATATGCTGGTTTATTAGAGGGATGACATGATGATACACACTCGTGTACAGTAGGTGGCGGTATGAAACCAAAAGCTGTTTGCGATCCGCCATTAAAAAGAGAAGAAGAAGAAGAAGCCTACCCACAATCCCTTGCCTTGTTCCGGTTCCAACCATTCGAGATCTAAGATGGCGGACCGGCGGCGAAGGAGGAGGCGCGCGTCCCAGGACAGCGAGGACGACGACGAGTCCGGTTCGGGTTCGGACAGCAAGAAGTCCGGCTCCCCGACCACCAAGAGCCGTGTGAGAGAACCCGAACCGCCGGAGGTGACGGCAACCCGACCAGAGCCGAAACCCGTAGTGGAGTCGGAGTGTGTGAGTAGCTAACCCGCGTTAGCTTCCCAAGCTGACTGTGACATTTACTGCTGCCTTAAACAACTTTTCCCCGGGGGGCGAGCGCTGAGTTCGGCTGGGTGATTTGAAAATGCTGCGATAAATGAATTGCTTAAAACCAATTTACACCTTACATAAACGTCTTAGGGCTCCTTCAGTAGACTGCGTTAGCTGGAAGGAGCCCACACGTTAGCTGTTAGACCGTTATCAGAGAGTTTGTGTATAGGCTATATTTACTTTAATTAAGTGCGATAAATAAGCAGTTTTAGCATCAACAGTTGAGGTAGTTAGCCCAACTTTACTGTAATGTTGTCCTCCGCTGTGAGGCGTTAAAACGCATTTACAGAGGGTACTTTCAGCCATAACCCCGGCTTTCCCTTGATACTTTGCCTTGCTCGAGTTTGTGTTAATTTTGACCTCAATATAAGAAGCTCCGGTTGGTTTTGCTAATAAGACAGTTTCCACCCTGGTGTTGGTAAGCATTTTTTTCGGTTAGCACCCGGCTAGGCCCCGCTAATGCTTCCGCCGTGCCACGTCCAGCGGGAGAATTCACTTCCAATGACCCGGGGGTAGAGGATATAATACGATAGTAATACTTTATTGTCAGATCAAGTCTTAATGTTTTCTTGCATCACAGCAGCTTCCTTTGCAACATCAAACAAATACAAATATTAAGACACGAAACAAGGAAACAGACATTACAATCACTGAAGACAACATTTTTAACGTACATCTGACCTGGGATTTGACTCTGGTTTCATTTCAAGATTGTGTTGTACTCAAAGGAGTGCTTTAGTCTAACTTTATTTAATCGTTGAACCCTGTATCTTTGATGGTAACAATTCAAATTCACTGTTCAGGAAATGTTGTTGGTCACCCTCACTATGTTATGATTCATAGAGTTTCTCACAGGGTTGTTGTCGTTTTTGAGACTAAACAATACAATGCTGATTTTAGTTTTTGTGTTTTGCAGGAGAGTGAAGATGGTGTAGGTGAAGGTAAGACATTTATTAGTTCACAACATCTCAAACCTATCCTTAAGCCTTGTACAATTGAACCAGCTCACGCTAGAAATGGGAGATTTGGCTATGCAGTTAAATTTCCACAATAAGTGTTTTTTCTTTTTGTGATTTTTATGTTTATTAACATTGCACAGACTTAAATCAGGCTCTTTATGTTTTTCCCGGTTAACATAACATCCTGTAAAACCTGAAACTATTTTTTTCAAGAACCATAAAGCGTTACATTATTGGTGTGGTTTTACTGGTTTTAGTCTTCTGTTTTTAACTCATGTCATGTCTTGTGCGGCAAATGTGTGATGTGAACTACGGAATGAAGATTTGAAACCATTTATTAAGGAATTTACATAACAATTACTGTATTGTAATATATAGTCAAAAGGACATACCGTGATAAAAGTTTTGGCCATATCCCTTAAACCAAGAACACAAAGGGAATCAAAAGACAGTAATTACAGTTTTTTTTGTATAGGATTATAGCCAACTGGGGCTCATACCCAGCTTTTGAAACATGTTTGAGCCAGAATTGAATTACATGAAAAAAATGATCTAATGTTCTCTTTCCGTGTGTTTTGTGCAGCTGTCCTCTCAGACTATGACAGTGCTGATCCGGAGGAAAACGGCTCCCATTCAGAGGTAAAACACTGCAGCGGTATGCAACTGATTTAACTGGCATTCATTATGGAACTTCAGTAGTGTAAAGTCAAACGTATAGCCTATAATTCCAGTATGAAGCGTTGAAGAAAATCAGGAAACATAAACACGAAAAGCAGTGTTGCTGTTAAAACAGTGGTGCAGGGCTGACGTTTTTTTGTAGGCCGACCGGAAGTTAGCATCACAAGGGCTCCCTCCATAAAAACAAAATGGAATTATTTTATTGGATTTTGGAATGTTGCAGAAAATAATTTCAGTGGCAAACATGACACTTTATGACACTTACACGTTTTGTTTGGCAGAATAATCTCCATATATTAACGCCACTGATTTATATGAAGTATACATGTAATCAACAGAAGTAAAAAGATAACTATAGGCTATAACAAACTACTTGACCTTGGGGGGGGTATTCGGTTAACGCGACCACTGCTCCCAAGCCCTGTTGTTGCCATTTTGTTTTCTGTTAAATAAGGTTAGTTAGACCCAAGTCTTCCTGACAGTTCAGTGTGCCGCTGCCCGGTGTAATTCAAATGTACCGCGCGCAGCACAGACACACAGCTGCTGCCCAGCCGCAGCACCGGAAATGGAACTGCTGGGAGAAAAACGGACTATCAGAGATGTAACGTTATCTTTGATTATATTTCGTCTCCTCATTTTTCGTCAACGAAAGTAAAGAGAGATTTTGGCATAGTTTTTATTTAGTAAACTACATTTTCGTCTCGTCACTTTTCGTCAACGATATTGCATGTTGATTTTGTTACAGTTATTGTTTACTGGCGTCTCGTCATCGTCTCGTTTTAGTCATGGAAAAAAAGGTCGTTGACGAACATATTTCGTCATAGTTTTAGTCAACGAAATTAACACTAATGGTTACAAAATATTCTGTTTAGCCACAGCTAGCTTTAGTAAACTTATAAGACTTCTTTCTGCAAAGTGATATGCATGGATGTGGTCCTATTTGATCCAACATAAATACTATAATTAATAATGTTAAACTACACGTTCCTGTGTTCCCTCAGGGAGTGGAGGAGGAAGAGGAGGCAGAGCAGTTCAGCGATGAAGAAGCTCCAGCAGCACCAACCGAGCCCAAACCGTCCACCACAGCCGAAGGCCCGGCAACAGTAGAGGAAGTCGTGGATGTGGAGGAGGTGCAGGACGGGGTGGAGGAGGAGGAGGTAGAAGAGGAGGTAGAAGAGGAGGAGGAGGATAAGAATGAAGAGAAAGAGGCAGAGGGAGAGGAAGGAGGACAGAGTAAAGAAGAGAGCAAAGCCGAGGAGAAGGGCGACCTGACCGGAGAGAGACAGAGCGGGGACGGGCAGGTGAGACTCCCTGCACCTCTGGAACTATTTATTATTATGGAAATAATTTCCTCTACAAATGCAACAGCAGTATACCTAACATAACGAGAAAGTAAAATAGTGCAATTGGCACAATGGTGCAAAAATAATGCAGGAATGAGTAAAGTATATACATGTAAAATAGAATAAAAAAAAAGCAGGATGTACATTAGACTGGAATAAAATGCTGCTTATTGTATTAATAAATGAATATGTGGACTGTAAACCGATTGGTCAAAACAGTAGTCTGAAATCTGTCGTTGAGCTGTTTCTGCCGTCGTGTTTTCTGTTCTGACTGAAACTCCCCCCCCCCCCCCCCCCCCCCCCCCCCCGCAGGAGTCTACGGACGACCCAGAGACGAAGGCGGGAGGGATACCTGGACAGAAGCTGGACGACGACGAGGACCGGAAAAACCCAGCCTACATCCCGAGGAAGGGCCTGTTCTTCGAACACGACGTCAGGGGACACGCTCAAGAGGAGGAGAGGTGAGTTATTGGGATTTATTATTATTATTATTTTGGTCTTTGTCGGCATTATTAATATTTTTTTCTTTTTCTTTTTGATAAGTTGCTCTGATGTCAAAATAACCGTCATACATTTTATATATTAATATTATTTTCCACTAAATCTTTTTACAAACTTCACTACTGATCATAACTACAATACGGAAGAGGATTAGGGCCACATGATTTTTCTTTTTGAGGATTTGAAGCAAAAAAAGGGTTCTGAGAAAGAAAGTCAGAATTCTGAGAAAAGTCTGAATTCTGTCTTTTTTCTCAGAACAAAATAAATAAATAATGTGGCCCTAATCCTCTTCCGTACTACAAGATATTCCTTTGTCAGAATTTTATAATTACGCTGTATTGTTTTTTTATAAATAAAAAAACCACACAAAAAAGTTATGTATACTGAATGCTATGGGTATTCTTAAGTATGTCAACGTTTTAATAACAAAACAGTTTTTGGTCTTGTTTAAAAAAAAAAAAAAAAACTGTATTTTAAAATACATAAAATGTCATTGACGTGTTTTTTTTTAAAAACACGTCAATGACATTTTATGTATTTTAATTTTGTTTTAATAATGAATTATTATTTTAACTTGTAGTACTGATACTGTCCACTAGTTACGTAGAGAGCTGCATACATGATTTCGTTTGGCAGCCAAATACTGCAATATAATCTGTGACGCGTTTGTGTGTATTGTGTTTGTTTCCCGGGGAAACACTCACAAGAAACACCGGCTGTTGTTATGCCTGCTGTGACGTTAAGTTACCGCTTGTAATTATGCCGTTACAAGCTTCAAAGTTGTATTTATCATCTGAATTTGGCGAAACAAGTTTAATATTCTAAAAACCCAAACTTTGTTTATTTGAAATCAAATGAAAACAAACTGTCACGGACCCTGCCGTGTTATCTATGATTACTATACGCTTTTCATTCATCATTTCAGCGGGAGGGAGGGGAAGCTGCGCTGAGGAACAGCTGAGTGCGGGTTGACAGGTGTCCGTGTTGACATTCCCCTTATTGTGTAATAATATATATATATATATATATATATATATATTAATATATTAAAATGAAACATTGCCATTTAACACGGCTCCCTGTCTGCCCTCACAGGCCTAAAGGTCGGAACAGGAAGTTGTGGAAGGACGAGGGTCGCTGGGACCATGACAGGTTTAGGGAGGAGGAGCAGGCGCCTAAAAGCCGCGAGGAGCTCATCGCCATCTACGGCTACGACATCAGGAACGGCGGCGGCTCCGGAGAGCGGCCGTACCGGCAGCGCAGGCCGAGGTGAGCGATAATAATAATCCATCATTTAGAATGTATTTCAGTGATCCTTAGTAAAGTGCTGCAGGGATGATGTATTTGTGCAGTCTGACCCTGAAGGTAACATCTCCCTGGTTCCCTCCACAAATAACTGTCTCTTTATCCTGTTATTATGATAATGTCCAAAATGATCAACAGTGTGCATTAACAGATAATCAATGTAAAATAAAACAAATTAATCATTCCTTTCTTTAAAGAAAGAGAAAATAGTTGTGGTTGAATAGTCAAAGAAATCCCCGACCTGCCCTAAGTTACTTCTGGGTAACTTTCCTCAGATAATAACCTTCCTCAGTAAAATAGACTATTCGACCTCAACCAAATACTTTGTATCCGTTTCCTTTTTCTAAAATCTACTGTGGATTCTCTCTAATGTTTCCCTGCAGACAGAGTTTGTCTCCAGGCAGAGACAAGCGCTGGGGGGACGGAGGAGAGCGACCCGTCCGATCCTGGCACAGCGGAGGAGGAGGCCGAGGAGGAGCTCCACCCTCCTCCACATCCCCTTCCAATCTTCCCCTCACTTCCAATCAGCGGAGCAGCAACGCCTCCAGACAGCCTCCCCCCCGCAGCAGACCATCCCACCCCCAGCAGAATCAAATGCAACATCCGCCTCAGTCCCAGTACAGGAATAATGAATTAAACGCACCTCAGATGCACCCCAGAGAACGACCGGGCCCTAAAGCTCAGTGCGAGCCTACAGGAGACAGGGGAGTGGTCAGCAGGGGTGGACGTGGTGGTGGGAGGGCGCCCTCTGTGCTGGTTGAGGACATTACATTCAGCCAAGGAGGCTCTAAGGAAGCTGACCCCGGGGTTGTAACGACGTCACAGCAGGGTGGTTACCCGTCTGCGTCTCCGAGACGACAGCAGCAGGAACAACGAGGGAGTGGCGACATGTCTTCCTCTTCCTCCGACCCCCCCCAACAGTCGGCACAGACCAATCGGGAAGCCTCCCCCCCCCGCAGAGCGGCCGGTGGAACGTAAATCTTATTTGGCGGCCCGCAGGACTCGCTCTCGGCCCTCCGACCTGGGCAGTAAACAGCCGTCTGTGGAGGATTCTGCAGCCGTAGGGAACTCCTCCTCCCTCGGAGACGTGGGGGGGAAGACCTGGTCGGGGGAAGGCAACGGGCCGAGTCAGGCGGGAGGAGGTGGCGGGCTAGGGGAGCAGGAACATGAATTGGCTCGGCTCAGTCTGGTAGGACAGAGCTGGAGCCCCAACCCAACGCCGTACTTCCGCTCCGAAATGATGGGTGAGTGGTGTGCTTTGATTATCCCCTTAATGTTTTATTATTAAGGTCTCAGGGAAATGTGTGTTTCATCTGGTCACCTGGTATGGCATCCAGTGTTTCCCCTAGGTTTACTGCCTTAGCAAGGTACTGCCAAAAAAGTTTTATTCAAACTGTATTCCCTTCTTATCATGTAGCCTACACTTCTTCCTTTCATTGATACATTTAAATCACCTGACTCCAGCAGACACGCATACTGTGCTGCTGCTGCTTCTCTCTGCCTCATCCTCTATTGCTGGAGGCAGCTCCACCTCATCTGATCTCTGATATGAAAGCAATCGTGTTATGATCATATTGAGCTATTGGTGTGAGTCTAACATTAAACAAGCAGTCTGCTTGTCATACATTGCTGACGATACATTTTAAGAGGCAATTTGTTGAGTCACTGCCGCTAAATGCCGGTAGCATCAAGCTAGCAAATCCTGCATTAGCCTCACATCAACAGGTGTAGACAGAACATCCAATTATCCTGAGCTAATTTACTGAATAAACCAACTCGCATCTCCTGTCTTTTTTTTCACCCAACTCATTAGACTATTCTTCTGCTGGCGTTTCATTGTTGTTTTCTGTCAAATTCAATACTGTAGTTCAAAACCGCGGTACCTGCTCACCATCTGTGAGCTATTTTTAGAATGCGCACGCTACGTTCTTTGTCGCGTTCGCACGCGTCCACCTGGGCAGGTTGTCCTTCTCCGTGGCGATAACGGCTTGAGGTTAAAAAATAATAATAAACGAATTTGAAACTGGGGGGGGGGGGACACAAACGGGCAGACGGCAGAGCTCGGGGCAATAATGCAGATTTGTTTGACTTTTTTACACTTTGTTGTTCTCCTTTCCTCCGCTCTTGTCTCTGATTGTGAGTGTGTGCATTCGTGTGTGTGGGGGGGGGTGAGCGGAGCCCCGCCCTTCAGAAACAGAGCGGAGGGAGAATGTGAATACGCAAAGCAGTGGACACTGAAACATGCACATACATTGGATAAATAACATAGGCGTTTAGTTTATTTAATAAAAGAGCACATGTTCAATGTGAAAAGTGAACGTAGATAGATTACTTCAGTTGCAATTTGGTGCTATATATATATATTTTTTAAATAAAAAAAAACACCTTGAATTTCAGGCTGGGCGCAGGGCTCCGTTGGCAGGGCGCAGAGCCCCGCCAAGACAATGGTAGGGGAAACACTGGCATCGTTTCCTCTTTGAGCAGGGTCAGTCTCGTCTGCCAGAAGCTGTCATAAATTGACTTTTTATTAATTGATTTTTTTTTAAAGGGAATACTTACAGACAAACATTTCTGTTTAAAGATAACATTGCCTGAATGGGGATGGTCTTCATTATAATCAAACGGTACATTGTGTTAATTCCTCCTTTATTTGTCATGTACCTTAACCATTTTCTCCAGCTTTGAGTTTCTCAATGATCAGATATCACCAATAACCTTCAGCCATTGTCTGTAATCTAGTGCATCGATCTTAGGCCAGTTCGTAGTGATAGCCTTTTTTATCCTGTTTTATGCCACTTTTTAACCATTCCCCTTCTAGAACATAAGATTCAAGGACTTTTTGAAGCATAATTCCTTCAAATTCAGAACTCGAGGTTAATCACCAACATTCTTTCTTGAAGCAGGTGGCGCTTAAAACTGTGAGACGCACATGCAGACAGCGGACGACATAGCCTACTATGTTAAGTTAAAATCCAAAAGAACTTCAATTTCTCCTCTTGCACAAAATAAATAAATTCAAGTATGTATACAAAAACTTTGAGGGGCTTCAGTGTTTCCCCTATATACAAATAGCGGTGGCGCAGCGCCGCTGCTGAAATATGCGTGCCGCTAGGGGGCGCCAGCCAGGTTTTTATTAATTAAAATAATAAGTGGCGACCCTTTTTCATTTTTGATTGTTTATGTGGATTTGTAGTATTTTTCTTACTGTATGTTCAATAAAGGTGTATTTTTGCTAAATCTTGAGACATTGCCACTGTATGTACTGGCAGGGCCGATTTTTGGCATAGGCGGTCGTCTAGGGCGCCAGATCTGGGGGGCGCTGCGTTGGTAGCTCTGGGAGGGGAAAAAACATTTTTGACCGTTGGCGCTCATCCTAATTTTTGGCCTTGATGTAACAACATTCATAATTAAGTAAATGTAACACCCTTTTTCACCCCGGTTACACTTTTCATTTCAAGGTTCAAGGTTCTTTATTGTCAATCTGACATAGCTACAGAGTAATTATGCAGTTGAAAATCTTATGTCACAGGCTTCTCCAACAATGCAACATAATAACATAACATAATAACAATAAGAGCAAGAGCAATACAAAAATAATAATAGTTATAAAAATGAAATAAAGTTATGATGTGGAATAGTGCAGTATGAGTCTATATACAAGTTATTGGAATGATATATATATATATATTAGGTATTAGATACATACTACTGAGTAGCAGTTGAATGTTTGAAGTTGTTTCAACAGTTCAATTTTTTAACAGTCGCACTGCCCGCGGGAAGAAACTGTCTCCGAATCTTCTTGTCCTTGCCCGGATGCTGCGGTAACGTCTGCCAGACGGCAACAGAAAGAACAGTTTGTGGCTGGGGTGATGGGGGTCTTTGATAATCCGTAGTGATTTCTTCCTGAGCCGCTGGGAGTAAAGGTCCTCCATGGATGGCAGCTCCGTCCTGGTGATGTGCTGTGCAGTTTTCACCACCCTCTGTAAAGCCTTACGATCGAGGTCGGTGCAGCTGCCGTACCAGGCCGTCATGCTGCCAGTGAGGATACTCTCTATCGTGCACCTGTAGAAGTTGCAGAGTATCCTGGAATCCATTTTGAACCTCCTCAACCTGCGGAGGAAGAAGAGCCGCTGTCGAGCTTTCTTGGTGATGGTGGTGGTGTGAAGAGACCATGTCAGGTCCTCAGTGATGTGGACCCCAAGGAACCTGAAGCTTTTGACTCTCTCCACCGTAGTCCCATTGATGGCGATGGGGGCGTGTCCCTCTCCCTGCTGCTTCCTGTAGTCCACAATCAGCTCCTTTGTTTTGCTGATGTTGAGATGGAGGTTGTTCTCCTGGCACCAAGATGTCAGGTTTTCGACCTCCTCTCTGTATGCCGTCTCGTCATCGTCTGTGATCTGGCCGATGACGGTCGTGTCATCAGCAAACTTCACGATGGTGTTGGAGCTGTGTGTGGCCACGCAGTCGTGGGTGAACAGGGAGTAGAGGAGAGGGCTGAGCACGCAGCCTTGAGGGGCACCGGTGTTAAGAATCAGGGTGGAGGATGTGATATTTCCCACCCGCACTGCCTGGGGTCTGCCCGTCAGGAAGTTCAGGATCCAGTCGCAGAGGGCGCTGTTGAGCCCGAGGTCTCTGAGCTTGATGGCCAGCTTGGAGGGCACAATGGTGTTGAATGCTGAACTGTAGTCAATGAACAGCATTCTCACATATGTGTTCCTGTTCTTCGGGTCCAGGTGTGAGAGGGCAGTGTGGAGGGTGAGGGCTATGGCGTCGTCTGTGGACCTGTTTGCTCTGTAGGCAAACTGCAGGGGGTCCAGAGATTCAGGGAGGGAGGAGGTGATGAATAATTTGACTAACCGCTCAAAGCACTTCATTATGATGGAGGTGAGTGCTACTGGGCGGTAGTCGTTGGGGCAGGTGATGATTGTCTTTTTGGGGACAGGATTGATGGTGGAGTGTTTAAGACATGTGGGGACTACAGACTGCAGCAGGGAACTGTTGAAGATGTCTGTGAACACCTCTGCCAGCTGAACTGCACACACCCTGAGAACACGGCCAGGGATGCCATCAGGTCCAGGAGCCTTGTGTGGGTTAACCCTTTTAAAGGATTTACACACATCTGCCCTATTTAAAACAAAAGGGCAGTGTAGCTCCTGGTCCCTCTGTACCTCCACAGCCTGGCTGCTCTCAAAGCGTGCAAAAAAAACTGTTTAGCTCATCTGGGAGAGATGCGCACGCAGACACTCCCGCAGCACCCCCCGCTGCTCCTTTGTAGTCAGTCATTGTCCTTAGTCCCGCCCACATATTCCTAGTGTTACAGCCTTTGAAGTCAGATTCCACCTTCTCTTTGTACTGTCTCTTTGCATTTTTTATTGCTCTCCGGAGATCATACCTAGACTTCCTGTACTCCTCCAAATCTCCCGCTGTGTGCGCGAGAGTGCGCGCTTTCAGTTTGCCGCGCACCTCACCGTTTACCCAGGGCTTTTGATTTGGGAATGTCCGTACAGAAACCTTCGGTACCACGTCATCGATGCATTTCCCAATGTAGCAGATGACAGTGTCCGTGTGTGTGTTGATGTTATTGTCCTCAAACACACTCCAATCCGTAGATGCAAAGCAATCCTGCAGTGCTGAATCTGACTCCTCGCTCCATCGTTGTACTGTCCTTGTTATCGGTCTGTCCCTTTTAAGTTTCTGCTTGTAAGCAGGCAACAACAGTAGTGAGATATGGTCTGATTTGCCGAAGGGAGGGCGAGGGAGAGCCTTATATCCATTCCGGAAAGGGGAATAAACATGGTCCAGTATGTTTCCCCCGCGCGTCGGGAAGTTGATGTGTTGGTAATATTTTGGCAAAACCTTCTTCATGTTGGCGGTGTTGAAATCTCCGGCCACAACGAACGCCGCATCTGGCCGTGAAGTCTCGGTTTTATCAATAAACCCAAACAGCTGATCGAGTGCCGTGTTGTTGTCGGCGAGTGGCTGCGGCGGGATATACACTGCTGTTATCACAACAGATGTGAATTCCCTCGGCAGATGGAAGGCCCGACATGAGATCATGAGGTGCTCTAGCTGTGCGGAACAGTCCGATGAAATAATCTTCACATCTGAGCACCAGTTGTTGTTAGTCATTACACACACACCGCCTCCCTTACTTTTCCCCGAGTTTGCAGTCCGGTCCTGACGAAAAATAGAGAATCCGTCAGGGACAATAGCGGAGTCCGGGATAGCGGGGTTGAGCCAAGTC